GACATCAGGTTCTCAGTATCATCTTTGCACACACCATATCCTTAACGGAGAATCCACGAAAGCTTTCCTTATCTATCTCTACAACAACTTTAAATCATCGAATTACTCTTGGCAAGTGCTGAAATATACCAAGCTCATACCTTCAAACGAGATATTGGCTCTGGCCGACTACTGTCTGAAGGAAAATAAATAGGCTCGTCTTCACGATAATCAACGCATACATTCGAAGACGTGGCGAGTCGCAAAGCGTATGCCCATTTAATTCTCTTGGTTCTTCTAGATTGACTTAATTACACGGCTACTGCAGGCAGCTCATCCTATTCCGTCGTAACGGAGAGTTCAAGACGTGAAAAATACGTGCCATGAGGATTGTCCTTTTCGTAATAAACGGAGGGGTACGCTTTTAGACACTAAGCATGTAATTGGGACTGTTTGAATATTCTTTCTAGATCTTTCATTAGTTCTGCTCCTCTCATCAAATAAATCTTGAAAAACGGTAATGAAAAGAGCACTCTGTCGGAATAGTCAATGGTGGAGATGGTATGATTTATTGTGGTTGCGACTATAGCAAGGTTAGGTAAACTCAGGAGGGAGAAGCCTATTTTCTCAGATATAATACAGGTCTGAAGAGACGACACTTTTGTGGGGTGATTATGAATCCTGGTAAACATTTTCTTTTCATTCTCATTTTGAAATCTTGATGATTGCTTAAATCCCAAACCGCCGTTACTCGAAATCTCTGTCTTATGCAATTCTCGGGAAAAAATGCAATTTCAGTTTTAGAAAACATGTGGTAATGGTGTTAGCCTACTTCATCGCCGCGTTGTGTATGCTCAAGTAGTCTCGATTAACAAACTTTACATATATTTCTACATAGCCCCAATTTTGTAACCAGTGTTCTATACTTCCAACAGCCTGTGCATCAAGCGTGACCTCACCGGTTAAGCAATGCTCAGTAGTTCGAAGCCCCGTTCTCGGGCTCATTCCTGTAAATTCCCAAAAGACTCAAAACAGATGGGAAGACCTCCGACCGTACATTCTAATGTATTACTTCAAATAAAAGTATTGTTCGTTTTCCAGGAGATTGAATTAGACTGGAAATGTGAAGACACCCATGATCAGTGTTTATTTTTCAGCTGGAGACAAATGTTGCTGAATACCCGCCAACCATTCTTGTATTGAAACTTAACAAAGTATTTAGCCAAAGCAAAAAAGGTAATGTCCCTTGTAAGAAGAGACGCAAATTTTGTTTTAGGCACTGAAAAAAAGTAGGTGCTGCATGATGCCTGATACCCGTGTATCACTAACAATCCCAATAGGCGCATACTTCTGTCGTGAAGTCCGTCAGATATCATTGCGGCCAAGTCCTGAAATATTTCTCTAGTTCCTCTTTGATTCAAAAAGAGGAAAAAACACGTGATTCTCCCGGGAAGCTCTGCACAACTTAGTTAGTAGGCTCGATGGGCTCAGCAAAGTTTTTTGAGCTGGAATGACTTAAAAGTACACCTTTAATCGACTCACATTGTAAAATTTGGAGCTTTAATTTCAAAAGCTGTCTACTTCATAGAAATAAAATATCTACATGTACACGGTGAGCTTTCAAATCATTGTTTTGACGCTCGAGCTGTGCGCATAGGTGTGGAATATTGGTCTCCGGATAAGTAAACCGTATGAGGAAGATCACGTAAAAGTCTTGTTTCAAAGAATTATGAACTATTGAAAATCTATATGTTTTTATTTATTTCCCCTTGTCTGTATGGCACCACTCGAAACACTCCTCCAAAAACATGAGGATCATTCATTTATTAGCAACAGGCTGCAGAGCTATAACACCGTACGACAAAGGCTCAATAACAGGGAAGATCACATATGAAAATCTTTTTTATTTTTTTTTTAATTTGGTATGAAAATTTAGTAGCAACTTTACCAATGATAGTTTGTGGACGAGATGTTCATTTGAAAAAGAATGGCCACGTCCAGATTGCAGATAGCACCTCTTGGAACTGCATGTTCAACAAAACTTTCGTCTATGGATGCAAATGACGGTAGAGACGACAATATAAGATTATGAATGTGAATTATGAAATTTTGCCGCTAACCCTGCAACAGAAAACGTATATAAAGAGCTAACGGAGCCACATATTCTAATTCATTTTCTCATCAATCAAACTATCAACTCTTCTCTTCTAAATATCAATGAGATTCTCCACCATCCTCGCCTTCGGCTTTGCTGCTCTTGCCTCTGCTTCTCCTATTGAGAAGAGAGCCACCCCCGATGCTGAAGTGCACGGAGTCATCAATGCAGAAGTTATGGGTGCCCTTAATTCCTTGATTGAAACCGTTCAGGAAGGATCTGATATTATTCTGCACCAATATAAATTAGAGCGAAGAGAAAAAGCCACCGGGGATTCAAAGAGATTTGCTCAAAGGTCTGAGTCTGAAATGCAAGAGCTTTCAAAAAGAGGCTTTGAGTCTTTTCTACTTTCATTTGCTGGAAACATTTTGCACAAGTTGCTTGACATTAGTGGTGTCACCGGTGTCAGCTTTGTTGACAAAGTTCTAGAAATTTTCGGAGTTTGAGCTGAGGTCCTATAGGCTAAGTTTGATTTTCCCTTCTTTAGAATTGTTTGCGGGGAGGGAAGTTTGTATCAGTTTATACATGTTTATGAATTGAATATCAAAATGAATATCTTTTGGATCCATTTTCTTCTGTTTTGTATTTTCCAATGAAGAGCGATTCCTGCCTAAAAAACTTAAATTCTGCAGAAAAAGAGACGATTATTGTCAGGATCTGTGTGTTCGTATACCAAGACTTCCTTGGCATGCTTTCCAT